CGATTATCCGGATTGTTCAAAATAAACAAAAATTTTACGAATTTGCTGATTTGCACTTGGCGAATTAAGACACTGTTTATGAACGTGATGGAATGCATAACACTTTTTGTTTCAACAACGTCTCACCCAGCACAGTGGTCGTAAACTCTTAAATATATTTTGCGTCGTAATAAAAATATAACTTGATATACGTATTTATAAATAATTTATATTCAAATTACATCATTTCTATGACCAAGGGCGGCGTAAGGCATGGGCAACGTGGGCCACCGCCTATGCCTCGTGGTCCGAAGGGTCTCGCGCCTCGAAGCTTTATGCATTACTTAAAAGCCGAGAACGCAACGAAAAAATTTTACTCGTCATAAAACGATAAATAGTTTGACAAAATTTATTCATAAAAATGCAGTTTCAACTGCTTTTTATTTTATAGAATCCGTCTTTTTGAGCCACCAGAGGGCCTTTTAAACAATAGGTAGTCTGTTAGCGCTGGTCAGTAGTAGTCCAAATTCAATACGAACGTTTGTTTCTTGAAAATTTGATCACGATTTAAATACAGTATTTACTTCTAATATTACCCATACGTCATCGAAAAGAAAACGTGTTGTATTATCATTAAAAGACAAATTAAAGTATTTGTTTCGATTATCCGGATTTTTTCTTATCCGGACTACCTTCATCCCCAATTAGTCCGGATAATCGAGGTTCTACTGTATATATATATATTATATATATAAACTGTTTGTTTTGTACAAAAAGAAGTAGAAAAGTTGATGAAAGGTAGCAAAATGTAAAAAAAATTTAGTTTTCTACTAATTGTTTTGATGTTATTGTTCCGTAAAAACCCGTCAGTCCACGAAGAATATGTATGTTTAAAGAACTTTTCCTGTTTAAATAACCATAAATTGTTATGTTTTGAATGTTTCTTTTGCTAGAATAACTTAAAAATAGGTCTACATTTTTTTTTTAATTTCAGTCCAATAAATATACAGTTATACCCCGAACTTACGCGATACGTGTGACCGAGCGATAACCGCGTAAGTCGAATTCGCGTAAGTAGGGGTATAATTTCGCAATTTGTGTAAAATCCAAATTCGGATGTTTGTAAGCTAATAAATGTTCTCGTTAATCTTATCAGGTCTTTTGATTCGTTCACGGTTACAAGAAATCATCACACAGAGTCTCTCCAGTCTCCGTACATATAACAAACACAGAAATAAATAACACAAAATAAATTGTAGCACTGGCAGCACTGGCGCTTTTGTGTGGTGTTTTTCTGAGGACTGTGTGGTGCTGAATCGAACAGTTTTGATAGTAGATCAACTTCTAAAGTATATTTTCTTGGTTTTTATATTTTTCAATATATATATTTTGCATGTACAAAATAAAGAAATAATTTTTAACGATACAATAACCACGATTATTATTTTAAAAAGTTTACGTTAGGCTTAACATCGACGAAAGTTCAACGCAAAGCGACACGCAACCGTGAAAAATTTCAACATCGGATACGTTAAACTATTTTTTCGTACATAATCGGTTATCCGAACAACCCCAGTCCCCAATTGATTCGGATAAACGACGCTCAACTGTAGAAATAGTGTACTGATTGAAAATTTTTCCGGAATATCGCGTTACCCTTGTGTTTAAGCATTTCAAAACATTTCATCTTAAACAGTTTTTTTTGCGATTAAAATTCATAACAGATTTGACATATTTCTCTATGTTATTTGCAAATTTTAATACATAATTTTACATTAAAATAAAAATGATATCAAAAGGATTTTCATTTTCGCAGATTTTTCATCTAGTGAAACTTTTCTAATCATTCTATAAAAGTATCTTCTTAATACATTTTAAAACAATATGTTTAAAAGTTATGAAATTTTAGAATAAAATTCATATTTCATCTTTCACATTATATATCTTTAAAATCATAAAAACGCTGAAATTTATCTGCCTCTTTCTGATGTCGATGCTTCTTCAATCCTGAATCTGAAAAATTGTCAATTGTTCGACAATGCCATTAAAAAACACAGATATTGTAATCTATATGTATAGAAATCTACCTGATTTTCACATTTTGATGGTACCTTACGAAGAAAAATCAATGAAAAATTGTATAGGACACATATTCCTCCAAATGTGTACACCAAACTTTGGATATTATTCGTTTTTAATTAAACATAGTATTTAAAGAGATTTAATTATTATTAAAAATTATTTACCCTGTGAATCCTAAGTAATTTACAATAGCACTGCTTAATAAAGGACCTAAAAAATTAATTTAATTTCTGATTATTTTAGTGGAAAACTGTGTTTCACACTTAAATGTACATGTAATATAATTCATTTCTTAAACAGATTATTACTTACCTAAAATAGACGCTGAGCAAAGTGCAATATCCGCAATAGCGTAAACACTACTATATGTAGGAGACTGGCGAATGTCCATTATATCACCTAACTTAGGATACATTGAAGACTGTGCCATTCCTATTCCAAAACCGACTGCAGCAGAGGGAGGAATCAGCAATTCGAATGTAATCACCATTAGAATCTATAAAAGTACGATTTATCAGTATGTCGTCAGTACTGTCTGATTTACAGCTTTAATTCATACTTACAATTATCGTACTTAATGCTATTATGATAAGTCCTATCATCGCTACTAGCCACCTGCACGTATTGATGTATAATTGTTTATGTTATCAATAGAAAACGTTTGAAATTTAGTATTTACCTCCCGAATTTATGATCTAAGCGACCGAAAATGATGGTGCCAATTACATACAATAGTCCAAAAAATAAGAAAACGACTCCTTGCTGCCATTCGACTGCATTCATTTTATCCATCATCCAGATAGGAAGTGATGCCTGTAAAGCTGATAAAGCAATGTTTGAAACTGTTATATACCCTATAAAAATAGAACGTATTATAAGTTTAGTTTGTTATACATCCTGATATTGAGTTGTTATTGTTATACATCCATAATACGATCCCCGTTTCTCCATTCATGTGTTAGGTGCCAATTTACATTATACTCTTTACCAATACAAATGATTTTATCAATCTTATTACTCTTACCTGCTGCAATTATGATATAATGGTCTTTTATAAGCGACAATAACGAAGTATTTATTTTGACTTTTTTATTTTCCTTTGGTGAAATTGTAATTATCTGTAGCACTGAAAAAGTAATCAAATTCAATTAGAAGTAATTGGAGTCCACACATTTGTGAAATGGTATATAGAAATTTCAACTTATAAAATTATGAAAAAGTTGTGAATTCCAAGACTCTCACTTCCATTTACTGAGAATAAAGCTGCTAATATCCAGAATGGAAAGGCCTTTCCCATGAAATGGTAGGTAATTCCTCCAAGGCCAGATCCTATTAACATTCCAACACCTATTCCAGTTAATGCTATAGACATGGCATTTCCTCGTTCTTTATCATCAGTATATATTCCTGCCAGCATATCCATTCCTATAATAGAAGACATTCACAAACGATTACGTTCATTGTTAAAACTTCTTTGATATTTATGAGTCTAATAGTAAAGGAAGGATATTTTTTAGTGTTGTAACGAATAGTATATTCGGCCTCAGGCCGAATACCGAATATTCGGCCAAGAGCGTGGCCGAATAGCCGAATATTCGGCCAAACTATTAGGCTTGATTAACGCACGTACGAAAATTGGCGCGCAAACCGCATTATGGCAAGGATCCTACTCTCTATTGGCCCGCTGTCACTACGCTTCGCCAATCGCGTTAATTCTTTGCAGTTGTAGCGGACAGACGAGTGTCATGGAAGTATGCGATAAATAATGATATTAAATGTGTACAGTCAACCCCCCAGTGAAGATCTTATTGAAAATGTTCCTTCCCAACTCCGCCTCGTTGAGTTGGTTTCTTGTGTATCACGACTCGATGTAGTGAATCAGGTTCGTCGGAAAGCACACCTCCACACTCAAATTGAATATATTTACAGTTTATTTACAGTTGTACAAGTTATAAACATAGTATATGTACAGGAAGATCATGGGTGGTGAATCACGTGCCAGATTGGCGTCTGGAAACTAATACTCTTGGGAGAGACCTCAGTCAGCTTTTGGAGTCGGCTCAACTGCACGGTCGGTCCGGTCTCAGCACTAACCCGTCCCTGAGAAGATTAACAGAGGAGAACACTCTCTCTTTACGCTCAGCGGGCTTCCCAAGTGCCTGAGACAACCGTGTATCAGTCTCTTGCCCTTCTCTCCTTCCCTCTCGTTCGGCCCGCAATTTAAGGGATTTTGGAACGGGAACTTCCGACCAATCACGACCCTTTTTTATGTCCGAACAGCTTACACTCAGGTCCGCCGTCATCCGAGGAGAGCGGAGTCACACAAACGTCCGCCACTTGTTTACGTTCGTTTGTTTATGATATGGCAATTGTATTACCGTCTGACTGCAGGTGGGTCCAATTAACAAAGCCGGCGCTTCCTTTGCTTACCCATGTTTACAAGTCAATACTTTACAAGTGATATTACCCGACTGCACGTGGGTCCAATTGACAAGGTCGCGCCTCTTTTGTCCCCACTCCGCTAAAAGGTCACTACTTTACACCCCCTATAATTACGGTTCCTATAAAACTACGAAAAAATATACGTATTTTGGAAATGTTGACTCGGATTAGTGTAGAATCGATTAATTTTATAGAAGAAAACCTTTCAATCAGCCGTAGTCCATAAACTTGACAAGTGTCGGGCTGTGATTGGAACGACTTGTAAGAAATCAAATTCCTAATAAATTGGAACGTATCTATATCTTATAGGGGGGTCGACTGTATAACAATGAAATGACCTACACGTGTAAATAACGGAAAAAGAACAGTGAAAGACCGCGAAGTGAAAATGTAAAAATAAATAAGATAACTTATTGAGATGATAACATAATAGAACAAGTCGAGGCAGCTTATTGGCACGAAATTCGCAGCCGTCAATGCCAAACAATTGTTGTCATAGACTTCGAAAATCTAAATGCTTGTAATGAAAGTCACTTAGCGTGCACGGGCGAAAGCCTGGGGCCGTTCGGGCTATCGAGCTGTCTCGAATTTGTGAAATGATAACTGTGACTTATATCGACGTTCTATCTGTCTCTTTTCTCCGTTATCACCAGGCTGAGTCACGTAATTGTAAAATGGGAACTCTACGACGGAAAAGTGACGAATCGAAAGTATCGTGAGCGCGTATTATGATGTATGCACAGGCATACACGGATTAGAGCGATAGAGGAAAGAGAAAGGAAAGAGCAAAGACGAGCGCTTAAAAAGAGGAATGGGCAGGGTCAGAGCCTCAGATGTGCGACGATTCTCGAACGAATAGGTGTGTACGTGTGCTGATCTAACTATAAATTGTGAATACACGTGACTAATATTATTTTCTTTTTTATTTTGTGCATGTTACAAGTTATAAATAAATATAAACAAACAACACTAACTCGATAACATTAAATCAAAGTACCAATTTACTGTGTTTTTTTTATTTATTACACCTGTTTTTAGGTATTCGGTATTCGGCCGAATAGTGATTAAATATTCGGTGTTCGGCCGAATAGTGAAAAATAGGCCTCAGGCCGAATATTCGGTATTCGGCCTGAGGCCGAAAATACTATTCGTTACAACACTAGTATTTACTTTAAGCTTTTTTGTACGTCAGTATATTTCATTAAAATTTATACAGTTTTCGCATTTCATTATATTTATTTCAAAATTTTTTGTATGTTTCGTTTCTACTTATGGTATTTATAATTCGTGAAATGATAAAGGTTTTAAAGGAGATCGAGTTTCGTTGGACGTCCGAAGAGGGAAGGAGATTACGGAAACTTGGCCAAACTGGGACAAGACGGCGAGAAGTAAAAATTTCAAGAAAAATGCGGACGTAATTTATGGGCAGCCCTAATAGAAAACTAGAGGATTTTCATGTAAGTTGTTTTGCTCATATTCTACAAAACTGTACTTAATATTCGATGTTACCACCAAATTATATCGAAAATACTGCAATTATTTTTGCTGTCGGGTCCAATATCGTTCACATGCAAATTATGCATAGCAATGATAATTGGATTTGCTCGTATTACGACACAAAACGTAGGCTATTCGTATATACCACGGATGGGCAAACCATTTTGAGTCCGCGTGCCGTATAGTAATCATTCTTATCCATAAAAAGTTTATTCAAAGTCTAAATCTTCGGCACGCATTAAGATATTTAAATAAATGGAACAAATATGCTTTAAATACAGTAAATATAAAGAAGCTTATTGAAAGAAAGGATGATCGCGTGATAAACCGAAAAGATTATTGATAAAGATAGGTGATAAACCGAGATCGTGTGATACGTTACGTCTAGATGATATCTCTAACGTGCCACTTCGTCCATGCGTGCCATAGGTTCGCCACTCCTGGTATATACGATTCTACAGTGTCCCAAAAGTTTCCGTGCATACAAAGGTACTTTATTCACAAAACATTAAAATGTCAGCATTAAAATTTGTGTCAGTGAATTGACGGAGTAAGGCAATGGAACACATGGGTGATCTGCCAATGGGGTAACTTCTAGCAGAACTTCCTATGTGGAAACTGGATTCTGTTTAGGTGTTAGTCACATGAAGAAAACTCAGAACACTGTATGGTGGCCAGCCCATTGGTCAGGCACGAACCAATGACCAATTACCAGTGTCCAATGGGTTTATTTATTAGGCCACTGTATGGAGACTTTTGGAACACACTGTACAAATTACGGTAAAATATGTACGAAATTCAAAGTATTCTCACAAAGATTGTATCCTCATATTAAAAGTGACATATGTGAACTTACCGAAATACAGCAACAATAACAACTGCGGTATATGAGGAATTGCTTTTACTTTCTTATTAGATTTGGTGTCAAATCCGATACAATTCGATACGTTCATAGATAAATGCGTCATTTGTTGAAAATATTTAATTCGTCTAAATTAGACCATTTCCCAAAGACACCATTCAAAGACGATGTTGGAAAAATGAAACCCTAGTAACTTGCTTCGAATAATAATTCCAAATATATTTAAATAATTATTTTCAAACTTATCTTTCCATTTATTTCTCCACTATGAAAAATCCATATGCAGTACGTTTTTTTACAGATTACAATTTCTTTCACTGTTGCTTTAAAGTGTATAATGTGATAATTCCTTCAAACTGGGATATATTCGGCGCTTTCTCCTGAGGTGATTGTTGCTCTTTATGCTACAACAGATCTACAGATCTGTTGTAGCATAAAGAGCAACGATATAAAATTTCACCTGAAGTGGACAAAAAAGTAAAAGTTATAGAGAATTCCCTTACACACATACATACATACAAGAAAGACTTCAGCCGTACACAAAGTGTTTAGTCGGCGGAAAAGAGGGTAAGGGAAAGGGGAGGAGATAGATAGTAGAGAAAGGTAGGATCTCTCTGAACGGTGCATGTATGGCTACAGTATCTTCTATGTTTGATGTTGGCATGCAGTTTTTAGGCTGCAAGGCCGTAGTTCCCTGAAGAGTCTAAAAGAAAACATGAGTGTAATGAACACCAATGATCCAGTGCTGCCGCAAATAGCTAAGTGTAGAAGTTAGTGCCAAGTAACTGTTAGTAGGAAGACTTATATATACTTAATGCTAAAGAAACTGAACGTGGGTGCGAATCTTAATACTATCTAACAGCTAGACAGACAATGCAAAAAAACAAAGGAACACAACAACAAACTATATGAGATGAACGGACAGACAAAAGACAAACATGCAAAACCCCAAATTCTTTTATTTTTTTTTAACATTAACTTACTCACTAACTAAACTAACCTANTAAAGATCTAAGAAAACTATCTGTTAAATATTGAAAAAAACATTTTTATGAGTAAAATAAAGTAAAAACTTTGTCAATTAGTCGATTTACAACTCAGAAGAGAAGTGTTGAAAATAGAGTCATAAAACAATTAACGTTTATTGACTTTCGCAGTAGGGGGTAACGCAGGGTCTGATGACAAATTTTCTCGCAGTAGTGAGAAAATTCTACTCACTTCACATGAAACAGTAATATTTCTTCCCCATTTACAAAGAAACCCGATAGCAATCGGTGAAACAGGAGATAAATTACAGCGAGTTGAAATTTGATATGTTTATTTTTTGCGTTTTTCGTATCAAATTACATTAAATTCGATGCAAATAAAGCATTTGTGCCAATATAAAAATATTTTACACTGTTCGAAAGTAGAGAAAATTGCAAAAACAAAGATGTAATTATAATTTTTGACGCAAAGCCAATAATTTTACAATTTTAGAAAAAAAAATGGATTCTGTGAGACGCCGCGTGAAAAAAGTGCGGTCGCTAAGTTACGCGCTGTAGGAAGGGCTAATATGTGACCTACTTTCTCTAACAATAAAAAGAAGTAAGTTACAGTACAACGATACACAAAAACTAATTATAATAATTAAAACAAATTCCTAAAGTTCTAAAATCCTCCATTCGGTATTTGATATAGTTCTACGTAATAGCACTAAATCAATAGATTTTCTAACTTACAGGCTTATAAACGATAAAAAACATAAAGTAGGACTAGATAACTATATGCACAAGTAAATTAGTAAGCCTATAATACATACTCTCACTTATATCCAAGTATTATATCCAAAGATCACTTCTCGCTAATTGTCGAAAATAAATTATTTTTCAACTTTTCTTTCTGTAGCATATGCTGAAACAAGTTCTAATTTCACACTAAAATTTCTACCTTTTATCCATTAAACACAGTGCAAAATATATCCATTCTACGTAATAAAAATTTATCGTAGTGAACTTGAAAAAAACCAAGAAACAGCAAGGAAAAACAGTAAACCGAACTCTACGAAATCTGGCTTCGAAATAATGCATATGGGATAGACTAAAAATACTCCTCACGTTATCAAAGCTTAAATTTTTCTGAATAAACGCTAAAAGTTTTGAAAAATTCTTCCATGAAATCCGATGAATTTATTTAACACAATAACTAAATCTGTTTAATAAAGATTAATAATTTACCATTATAATTATGCCAAATTACATATAAGAAAGATCACTGCGCAAAATCTCCCGCGAATCATGGGATGACTGTAACATCACGTCAGAATTGAAACTTTCCTGCTAAACACTAAAAATTTTATATACAGTAATTATTTTATTAATTCAGTCAGATTTAAATAATATAAACTGTCTAGATCTGTTTAATAAAGTTTAGTAATGTACTATCACAAATATGCAAATTAGATATGAAACAGATCGGTGCTGAAAATCTCCCGGCAAGTGATAAATATAGAACGTTTACGTGACCAAAAGCTAACACCAATATGAAAAAATATGTTTAAAATTTAACGTTTTGGGTACAAATTAATAAATTTTAACAAAGACATCGTTTAAAATTTAGTGTTTCTGTAGAAATTCGTAAATTGTAACAAATTTCATTAAAGACAAGAGAATAATTTTCAGCTTACATAAACTGTACAATAAATGATTATTTCTTTGAAAGAAGTCGATATACACGAATAAATAATAATTATTTAATAATGCTTTTATCCATTTTAANGAATCATGGGATGACTGTAACATCACGTCAGAATTGAAACTTTCCTGCTAAACACTAAAAATTTTATATACAGTAATTATTTTATTAATTCAGTCAGATTTAAATAATATAAAATGTCTAGATCTGTTTAATAAAGATTAGTAATGTACTATGACAAATATGCAAATTAGATATGAAACAGATCGGTGCTGAAAATCTCCCGCCAAGTGATAAATATAGAACGATCACGTGACCAAAAGCTAACACCAAGAAATATGAAAAAATATGTTTAAAATTTAATGTTTCTGTAGAAATTAGTAAATTGTAACAAATTTCATCAAAGACAAGAGAATAATTTTCAGCTTACATAAACTGCACAATAAATGATTATTTCTTTGAAAGAAGTCGATATACACGAATAAATAATAATTATTTAATAATGCGTTTATCCATTTTAAATCGATATTCTAAAAGTTAAGCTATTTGGCTTTTATTATCTAGAGTTTCCAAATATTTTACTGTAAAATTCAATTTATTCAACAGAAACAAAGATAAGCTATTAAAATATAAACAGGACAATACAATAATTTTTACGTAAATTAAGTGTAAATGCAGAAAAAACGAATTATATCAAATATGGGACGAATAAGCCGACATCCCTCCAACACAGCTTATAATTCATAGTCATTTTTTTGCTTGGTTTCGACTGTTTTTTGTAGATAAAAAGTTAATGTTTTACCATAAAAGTACGTATTCTTAGTGACAGCAGATGAAAGTATCGAAATATAATATTCAAACGTAAAAATATTCATATATGTCGATATTAGAAATGTATATTTTTTCGATATTTGACATAATATCGTGACAAAAACATTAGATATATCAAACACGGGCCATAAACAACTTCTTTCTGTCAAATAAGTTATGGATTAGACAGGTTTATTTAGAAAAATTCAATCGCGAAAAACTGACGTTTATACAGAGGGTACAAAATGCTTTTTATGCGAGAGTATCTGCCTTTACAAATTAACAGAATTTTCAGTTTTTATACACATTATTATGCTGTAATCTAGGAAACTATGTGTAATACATAATACATACTACAGAAAGTGTAATAAAGAAACATCAGTCGTAACTAATGTATTATTGAAAGTTTTATTCATATAGATGATTAATTTTATCAAGAAACATTTCTCCAGAAGAAAATTGTCGATATTTCACGTAAATATAAGTCAATTTTATTATAATTTAGATAAAAAGACATTTTTTCCCCATGCAAGGCGTCTTCCCCTCCCTCCTATTCTTGTACTTGAAACATTCCATTTCATAATTTGATGTAATAATAACGTTTAAAATGACTTATAAATAAACTAATAATACTTAAAGTAGATTAATTAATTGTCATGGATCTCAGGTGTATTTATAAAAAAGTAATAATCGATATAATAATATTTTGTCACATGCTCCATGTGTTAAAGTTTGTTAAAGTTACAATCGACTGAAAATGGATAAAAGCATTATTAAATAATTATTATTTATTCGTGTATATCGACTTCTTTCAAAGAAATAATCATTTATTGTACAGTTTATGTAAGCTGAAAATTATTCTCTTGTCTTTGATGAAATTTGTTACAATTTACTAATTTCTACAGAAACATTAAATTTTAAACATATTTTTTCATATTTCTTGGTGTTAGCTTTTGGTCACGTGATCGTTCTATATTTATCACTTGGCGGGAGATTTTCAGCACCGATCTGTTTCATATCTAATTTGCATATTTGTGATAGTACATTACTAATCTTTATTAAACAGATCTAGACATTTTATATTATTTAAATCTGACTGAATTAATAAAATAATTACTGTATATAAAATTTTTAGTGTTTAGCAGGAAAGTTTCAATGCTCACGTGACATTACAGTCATCCCATGGTTCGCGGGAGATTTTGCGCAGTGATCTTTTTTATATGTAATTTGGCATAATTATAATGGTAAATTATTAATCTTTATTAAACAGATTTAGTTATTGTGTATTAAATAAATTCATCGGATTTCATGGAAGAATTTTTTTAAAACTTTTAGCGTTTTATTCAGAAAAATGTATTCTTTTGACACGTGAGGGGTATTTTCAGTTTATCCCATATGCATCAGTTCACGCCAGATTTCGTAGAGTTCGGTTTAGTGTTTATTTGGTGTTTCTCGTTTTTTTCGAAGTTCACTGCGATAAATTTTTATTTCGTGTATTGATACATTTTGCGCTGTTTTTAATGGATATAAGGTGGAAATTTTACTGTTAATTTACAACTTGTTTCAGAATATGCTACAGAAAGAAAAGTTGAAAAATAATTAATTTTTGATAATTAGTGAGAAGTGATCTTTGGATATAATACAGTAGAACCTCGATTATCCGGACCTCTATTATCCGGATTTTCGATTATCCGGATTGTTCAAAATAAACAAAAATTTTAAGAATTTGCTGATTTGCACTTGGCGAATTACGATACTGTTTATGTACGTGATGGAATGCATAACTTTTTTTGTTTCAACGACGTCTCACCCGGCACAGTGGCCGTAAACTCTTAAATATATTTTGCGCCGTAATAAAAATATAACTTGACATACGTATTTATAGATAATTTATTTTCAAATTACTTCATTTCTATGACCAAGGGCGGCATAAAGCATGGGCAACGTGGGCCACCGCCTATGCCATCGTTTTGAAGGTTTATGCATCACTTAAAAGCCGCGAACGCGACGAAAAACGATAGTCGTCATAAAATGATAGATACTTTGTCAAATTTTGATTCATAAATATTTTATAGAATCCGTCTTCTTGCGCCACCAGAGGGCCTTTTAAACAATAGTTAGTCTGTTAGCGTTGGTCAGTAGTAGTCCAAATTCAATACGAACGTTTGTTTCTTGAAAATTTGATCACGATTTAAATACAGTATTTATTTTTAATATTACCGATATGTCATCGAAAAGAAAACGTGTTGTATTATCATTAAATGACAAATTAAAGTATTTGTTTCGATTATCCGGATTTTTCCTTATCCGGACTACCTTCATCCCCAATTAGTCCGGATAATCGAGGTTCTACTGTACTTGGATATAAGTGAGAGTATGTATTATCGAAACATTTATGTTTTGTTGTTATTTATAAGCCTGTAAGATAGAATTTCTACCGATTTAGTGCTATTACGTAAAACAATGTGGAATAAGAATACAAAGTTCAATTAGCAAGTACTTTATTTATTAGTAAATTAATTTGTTGGTAGAATTTTTTTACATTTTGAGTGTAATTAGATGAAACTAAATAGATGTGAATATTAGTTGAATATGACTAGACTAATATGAAAAAAAGTATCACGTATTACTGGATCAGAAAATATTTGAAAAATTTATACTTTAACAATTTCGTTTTGATTATTACCGCCTAGAATTTATACCGAATATATTTTTTTATTTAATTTGTAACTGTAATTACAAATATATGTAAAATTCAGGATTGAGGTAATGTTATATCATTCGAATAGTAATGGCGCATAAAATATTTACAGGATTAATTGAAGTATTCGAATTTTGTTTGAGGAAGGCAAGCGTATCGACAGTTATATAATGAACTGAATTTATTTAAATTAGTTGCGTTTGTTTGTTTCGATCTAGTATTTTCGTAACGTTACGATATATGTACTTTTGACTTTGTAAATTGTATTATACTAAAAAATGAAGTTTTATGTTATTCTCCTACTTAATTATGTATTTTTAATGTTTCCGAATTAAATAGTATTTATTAAATTGAAATTCATACTTTACAAAGTACTACGAATATTAGAGAAGACCGTTTTACTATAATTTACTACGTCTTACTACGTTTTACTCTAATGTTCATTTCGAAAAAAGTAGGTCAGACAAGGATCGTTAGACTGATGACCTATATTGTCGGCTTTTCCGGGTTGCATCGGAGCCCTCGCGATAGCATTACTTACAGTACTCACACCAACTTTTTCCTGACGCGAGCCAATTAGGAATATTAATTTTTTAAGAAACTTAGAAAAGCTGGGACAACAGGGGAGGGGGAGTAAAAATTTGAAGAAAAATGCAGACGTAATTTATGAATATTTTTAAACGCAGTAATTCACCGATGAACGTAATTTATTGACCATTAATTTTCGATGGTAATATTGGGAGTGACCAGTTCAATAGTTCGTCTGTATCGACAATAAAACGAAGGGATCGATAACCAGAACCCCTCAGAAAAAGAGGAGTTCAGATGAAGTCACAATTAGGGATTGTAAATTTATCGACTTTTTCATTTACCGGTAATTCGGTAAATGAAAATTAAAATACCGGTTTACCGGTAAATTACCGGTAAATTTTTTTCCTGAAAAATAAAATTAAGGTGATAAAAAATATAAGTAATTTTGATTTCCATTTCACATTTTCTATTTCAAAGGTATAGAATATAAAAAATATAAAAATTAAAGTGTTATTCTAAACAAACTATAATAATAACTTTTAG